AATTTTTAAAAAAAAGAGAGAGAGAAAAAAGAGGAAAATAGTATGAGCTCTAAATGAACAGAAGTCAGCCTGATCACAACTGGACACAGATGAAAGCTCAACACGCCTTCAGTTGCCCACTTGACAACGGCTTCAAATTATTTTAGTTTTGTTTTCGACATTAAGCTTTACTAAGCAAATATCCATACATCTAACTGTTAAGAATTCAGCACATCATTGCACCTATTTTCACACAACTAAGGCCAGAAATTTACCTCAAAGGTTTTAAGAATGAGAGCAAGAAATAATATAATGATGTAAAATTATAGATCATGAATTTGCATGATACACACATTTGGAACAGATAGGAAATAAGAAGTTATAAATTGTTGAAATTACCTTGGTGTTTATCAGCTAACTGGACAAGAGGGTTGGGGAGATCTCGCCGCCGAAAGAAGCACATAACTTTGGCTTCAACATTTCCATTTGGAGTCTGTGAGAAAAAGAGGTAAAAAAAAAAAAGTCAAAAAATAATAAATTATTAAAAATATGTAGAACACATTTGAAGAGTTCCATTGAAAATGCCAAAAGAATAGCTACCTTGTTGAGTTCTTCTATTCTTCTAATGAGGTAAGGTGATGTTGAGGAGTTTTCAAAATACACGTAATCTAGAGAAACACAAAGAAAAAACTATGCAACAGCCCAATCTTTGAGGAATTGATGTCATCTTAGGGCAAACAGGTTGAACTTATAAATCCACAAGAAGAAAAACCGACACAGATATTTGCTGTAAGATTATGTAAATTTAAAGAGGCAGCAAGAAGGGTTACAAAAATAGTTCAAATCAATGTGGGCATTAATGGAATATGCCCTGGATATGAGCTAAAAGCTAAGAGGCATTCTATACTGAAAAAATAACAAATATCACGGGTTCAGATGGCATGAGCTCCACATCTAATATTAAGGGTATGATTTGAATTTTCTAAATTTACAAGTAAGGAAAAGAAAAAAAAATGCAGTAAACCGGGCCAATGTGGCAAGAAAAGAACAATTCAGAATGCAAGTAGGGGAGTTAAGGTGCCAGGTTAGAGGGCAGACCAATGTTTACAATTCATCTTAACCTTATTTGGTTCATCAAATCAAGAAGTTCGGTAGTAGTAGGAGTTACTTACAAAGTAACCCATGGAAATTTTTGAAAATGTATCAAGGGGGAAAGAAATCCGACAGTCCGAGATAGCCAAGCGTCGCTTCAAATAGCCGAGTGGCTCTGCTTCAAGTAATTAGTGGGCCTGTACAAGTGACAAGCAAATGATGCTACTGAAATGGAAGCTTAGCAGTGAAGAAGTCGGAAACAGAAAAAAAGTGTATTTCAAATGAAATGAGAGTTAAATCATGAGGATAACTCAAATCACCGGCAATACTTTTTGCCTCTAAAGACAAGTAAAGAGTTTGGATAGCAAAGTAGTCCCTGCAATTAGCTGGCTGGCGTCAACACAAATATTGTCCAACCTACAAAATACAGACGCCGCCCCGGTTAAGCCGTACGATAAGTTTAAGTTTTAATGCAGAAAAAAAGGTTTTATATTGACGCTCGGCTGCTTGAACGCCTTTAAAATGTCAAAAAAGCCATACTGATATCAATCCGCACGCCGCAAGCTAGCCGGCCAGATAGGCTTAAAACTTCTCCAAGGGTTTACATGTATTAAGTTGTACAAACCTCCGACTCTATACATATTTGCGGTCATTTCGTTATCTCCGATGATCCAGCAGACAGTATAAACACACGGCGCTCGAAAATAAACACATTTAAGTCTTTGAATGTGGACAAGGAATAAATGACTACCGATCACAAGCTTCTCAAAAACAACAACTCGCCATTTTCATTTTCTGCCTCGACTCGACCGTCTTCCTGTTTGGAACTCAATCCGGTAGATGACGTCACAAGCGCGTTCCGAGAGCCCCGAGAGTGGCAGCCATGACAAAGGATGAATTTCTCTTTTACCCGTGTTTAATTTTATCCTTCATCCTTTATTCCACTCAATATGGAGAATAACCTCATGACGCACACTTATACTAACTTAAATTTACTTCGATTACCTTACTATACTGCCTCCATGTATATTTTTGATAAAATAACTAAAATCTATGGCAGGTCCGGTGGGAGAAATTTCCCGCAGAATGGTTCAACTGAGCGGCGCGGTGTTTGACAGCGGCGCACGAAGACCGAATGGAGGCCGAAGGGGAAGCCGAACGAGGCCCGAAGTGATTCGACAGAAGGGGAGCCGGTGAGAGGCCGGCAAAAAATCCAAAAAATGTTCTTTGGTTTTATCATTTCATTGGATGATTAATTAATTGCGATATGTACTTCATGGAACAACTGAGATACAAGTTGTTTTCTTGTTCCACTTAGAAACAGGATACTTTGTGGGCCAACAAAACTCTGTACTTCTTTGATGTGCAATGTCAGGTGAATAAAGTTACGGTACAAGTATTTTGTAAAGGACACAGTTAAAGAATAAACACAAAATAAAAACTGCAAAAAATTGGTTTTACAAAATTACAACATTTATTAAAGTAGACTTTCTATACATTCTTCCCGACTTCAATCTCTCACTATTTCAATGTACAATGATGTTGATTTACAAAACCATATCACAATAAATAAGTGAAGATTTGTTGATCAATGTATGATTATGTCAAAGAATGGCACATATTCTCTTGGGGTATTTTGGTAAAACACACATATTTGAAGACATAATTTTTAACCATTTATACAGATTAACAAGTTCTCTTTTAATGTGTACCCCTTCCCCACACAAATTTCTGTACAATATCACACATTCAGTCAATGTACAGTCTCCTGCAACTTTCTGCTCTTGTCACAACTGCTAGGATGTACAGAATAATTATTCACATATGGATACAAAATAATACTACGGATAATTTATGCTTTGACTTCAAAACTGAAATCTATTTTCTTTTCACAGTGGGTAGATGTCAACCCAAATGAATATTTGTTAAGGCCACTAAGGTATGGGAATGCACACAATTATGGAAAATTTAAAAAGGGACGAGAAGATAACTCAAAGCTATATGACTACAACAATAATGCTTTGCATTGATGATGTAGGAACTGATAACAAAACTGGGTAATAGTAAAGTCAATAGCTGAACTTAATTCAGTAAACAAAAGCGATGCTGAGGTAAATAAATACGAACACATGAGACTTGAGATAAATACAGTAACTCTGATTGTTTGGCAGTCTCATAGCTGAGAAACAGAACACCTATCTCAACTCCACATAGTCAAGGGCAGTGATGGAAATAGCACTACGTCAATAATACAAAACCAGCAGTGTACACAAGGGAAATGTCAATAAATAATGTTAATGGGATTTGAATATTCACAACTCAAGCTCTAAACAGCAATCCAGTTGAAGCTTTTCCGTCACAGTTTTCACAGTGACCAACACAAAATTAACACATGGCAAAAATGCACACAAAGCTACTTAAGTCTAAGCTGCCTCAAATAAATTATGAGATAATTTACAGAAAATCAATCCCAAGTGTTGTTAAACCAACATGTGGACACACAGCACAGATAAAAAACGACTGCCTAAAAACATGTCAATTTGGAGAATTCGTTGTTGCTTCCACTACTTTCTGTGTTGAGCAGATATAAGAATTGAGCAAATAAAATTATAACACATCACAATGCTACCAGGGTCAAATCAAATGAACCATTACATACTCCAGTAGAAATATTTGTTGGGCTTGTTTCAGAATTGACTTTCAAAACTGTAGCGACAGCAATATATACATAAAGATGTAGCACTATCATTCCTCAGAGCATATACCAATTACACACACAAAAACCCAGTGCATATGAAATGTTAATGTCACTTGTAAAAAAACAAGCTCTACTATTTCAGTCTGAGTATGATGTGACTAGAAGCAGAATATATTTACGTAAAATGTACCAGCTAGATGTTGTTGGGCATAGTAGATACAAAAATAATTTAACTGCCTCCAGAATGAAAAAAAAGGGCTGCAAAGAAAAAAGAAATAATATTTAACAAACTTCAGAAGATTTAGCTGATAAGAATAATCAAAATATAGCTTCAGGTAAGAAATTAAGATAAGCCCACCAACTGATAAATGTGAACATGAAAATACTTGAATGAATGATAATAAATAATCTGATATCAAAATGTTATTGAAATTTCATTTTTTGATGAAATTCTAGTACTTACATCTAAGCATCAGTAACATATCAGGAGCAAAATGAGATTTTTGCACAACTTAGATATTAGCACACAGAAATGATTGCAATGCAAGGTTGATATAAATATCTGAGAATTCATTAGCATATCCATGAGTAATAGGTACATCAAAAATAGTCATGAACATCAGACTTACACTACCAAACTTTTCAATGATTGACAACCACTAATAAGGCAAGGTTGAGGAGCCCTGATTACAGCAGTCTTTCAATACAAAGCAAACTTTGCGTCAGTCTCCCTAAAAGTCCTACAAAGGGACTTCATCTTTACATCAAGTATTTTTAAGAGTTAAAAGAAAAAAAGATTAGTCACAGTTGACTTGATAACTGTCCTGCTCCGAGTGCTGAGCGACTGACAACTCGCGTCCAGGCAAAACGCCGCGAGCGTTCTATGCAATATCATCTCCTCTTTACTACTGTGTCGCCCGACAGAGTAACCAAAGTTAGTAGCACACTACATAAAAGCAGGGACTATCTAATACATAGAATCAAGACATTAAAAGGCAGCAATTCCAACATTTAAAATATTACTACTTCAGAGTTATAATTTGCTTTAATTGATTTATCAGACGATTCAGACCTGAACGATTAGAGAAAAACTTGGTTTGCATTGAGTATAAAAGCACCTCAACTTTGTAAGCATGAAAAGGAACAGATCTTTAATTCTTTACATAAAAAGTGATAATTGCATGAGCAGAGAATGATCCATTGAGATTCCTGATTCCTCCTACTCATCGCATGTGAATTCCAGGATGCACAATACTAGTTCACTTACACTACCTAACTTCTCAAATCAATAGAAGTTGATAATTCTTATGATACACACACAGAAAGTCAAACAGCAGAACGGCTAGGTTAGAAGGAAAGTTTATCACATGTGACCAACACAAGAAAAAGTCAGTACGAGAAAAGGAATGGATGCAGAAAGGAATGAGAATTTTTTCTTAGTCTTTAGTGTTGCATTTTCAAACAAACAAATGTAAAAACTTAAAGAAGCTTGTAAACAATACTAAGAGATGTCAGTCGAGTAAAGGAAAACAAGAATGGAAGTTCAATTACAGCCCCAAATTTCTTGCATGCAGTTGTATGAATGTATCTAGGACAACAGACAAACACAAAGGAGAAATTAGATTAAAGAAAATAAACCTCAGTGAGAAGTACTTGGAATTGGTACAGGACATAAAAGGAATAAATAGTGGTTAGAACAAGGTATTATCTGGCAATCTGCTGAATTCAAATTCAAGTAAAGCTGGTGGCATCGAATTTAGGGATAGATAAAACTGAATTAGAATTGAGGAAATCGTCAAAGTTTCACACGATGGTGATTTGACAAAGCAACTGATATCAGAAACGTTAAGAACATTGCGCAAGCTGTAAATATGAATTGGCCTCAAATACCCTCTTAAAGTAGAATAAAAATTCTAAAAAAAATAATGACATTAATTTTAGTGTTTGTTTTTTGTCGACACTACAGCATATGTGCAGTGATTGCAAGGCAGAATGCAATGGTCCCAGTAAGTTTATAATGTACTTTTTACATCACAGAAATTGTAGTACTTCGAGTTTTCAACTAAGAAATTATAACAAAGAGAAAATTCAATACACAAAATACTTTTAAGATGACTATGTTTCAGCTTTGGACACACTTTCAATGTATCCCTACATTTTGATAAAGACAAAACAGTCGTCCGAAAGGAATAAATCTGCCATGTATGCCTTTAAAGGCCACAAGTGAACTGACAGTGAATTTCCAGTTAAGAGATTTTGGACCCCAAAAGACACTACAAAGGAAACTTACAATACTGGTAATGGTTTCTAATACATATCTTTTCTTCAGTCAAATTTCACATTTTGCTAGTAATAGATGTTTAAAATTTTCAGATGGAATATACTCATTCCAAGTTTCTGAAATTGATTCACAAGAGAACGCTAAAAATAGAGCCATTTTGAACGGCTAATTTGCATAAAACGATTTCACACTGATGAATAAAGTAATGAATATGTACATATTCATAGGTAAATATATATTTATATATGTATATCTATATATATCTCTCAGACTGAACAAAATAATTGAAATAATTATAAAAGAATATCTGTACAAAATTTTAGTCTCATTGCTTTGGGCACTTTAAACCACAAGGCACTTTAAAAATTTACAGTCAACAAGATACAGTGGCAAGAGTCAATTAAACAACACAAGAAAAATAATAATTTTTTTCTGACACGGTGGAGGTACTTATCTAGTACCATTTATATACAGTAAATTTATATTTTGTTTCTTCTGGGAATGTTCACAACAGTCGTCTCCAAATGTGTAAAGCATTTGAAAAGAGGTTTCATAGAAAGAACGGGAAATAGAAAGTACTATAGTTTGGCAGTGCAATTAACAACTGGCAAAAAAGTTTCTGAAGTGTCCCACACAGTTCAAATTGTTTTCTACAAAAATTATGTAATGAACAGAACAATATCATAACTTGGACCAAAAACAATCCAAACCAATACACAGTAGTTATCAGGTTGATAAATGGAGTTTTAATTCTAACACTAACTGCCAGACATAAATACAGGGAGGGAAACATTTCACACAAATAGAGACGAATAATGTAAAAGAATAAGGGAAAGGATAAAATCACAAAATGGGAATAACCTATTTTCTTAAACTCATTCACTCACACAATTGCTTGCACACTGAAAAACAGATCTATACACAAACATCATGTTTTATAACAGTATAATTATTATGGAAGCAACAAGCTGAAAAATGTTTGTAGCTAGCATGCAGGTGTCTTCACCCTTAATAATGTGCTGCCTTCAAAATAAAGCGTCGATGATCCACTGTTGAAGTCATCCTGCATGTTTCGATAAATTTAGTGGCATATCTGGAAAAAAAAGGGAAAAATTAGTCATTTATTTTATTTGGACACAACTCATACAAAGCATTGTCATGTGCACTACTTTAACACTTTAACTTTAACGCGAGCTACCGGGTGGCTGATATCCGCCGCGCACTTTCGTAGTTATACTGTACCGCATGCACGTGTGCCGGCGGGTTTGCCCATGCTCGCTGCCCACGACCTCTTATGGCGCCGTGCGCGTAGGCAACCCGCCCGCGCGCGTGCATGCATGCGGTACAACTACGAAAGTGCGCGGCGTGAATAAGTCACCTGATACAATGTAAATTCATTCAAACGCGATTTTATCGCAATTATGACAATATGCGCCCACGCGCAAGGCAAAATTCCCACGCAAATGGTAAAATTCCCACGGGCATGTGAAAATTCCCACGCGCTTGGAATGATTCTCACGCCCTGAAAAATGATCCGACAACTTGTAGAAAGTCGTCGATACACCCAGATGAGTTAGTGCGGAACAAATAGCTCACAAAACAATGCCAATGCCATCATCCAAGAAAAATTCCCACGCATACCGGTTTATTTCCCACGATATCATTTCACAGTTTACTAGAACTGCGAAAATTCCACTGAGGGAAAACCAGCGGATGAACAACCAACATACTACTACCTATGTCCCTATCAACAGGTAGGAGCGCCCCGCCCACGTTAATCCCACGCCAACGGAAAATTCCCACGATCAGTAAACGGGTCCCACCCCACGCCTAGCCGACCGCTCGGCTCGAGCGGGCTCCAGCCAACACGGCTTAACTAATTCTTTGCTCAGCCCTCCCCCGCGAAGTCTACAGCCCTACCAAAGCCTCATATGCCACTGGCGCATCTTAGGCCCGACCCAGAGCAGTCGTCTGTATAAAGTTCCCACGGGGAGCATCAGGCGCGCACGGGCTGGCTGGGCCGGGGCCAAAGGGCCAGCCAGCACGGGCTGCATCTTCTCCTTCCCTCCCCAGCCTGGCTTGAGCAGCAGCAGGGACTCAAGGTGGGCTTGGCGGTCGCCTCCCCTCCCCCTTCCACCCAAAACCCTCCTCGGCGCTAGCGCTGCCGACGCCACAGCCCGGCAACCTGCCGCTCAGCGTGGCTGGAGCCACCACTGGAGCCTCCAGCTGGGGCACCGGCAGCCCTAGCCAGAGGTTCAACGCGCTGCGCTGCTCTCCGCTCTACCTGCTGCGGCTGCCATCCAGCACCATGGCGACGGCACGGGCGTGGCAGGGAGTGGCGCGGCGTAGCGTGACGTGGCGCGGCGTGGCGAGTCTCGGCCGGCCAGGCCCGCCCTTCCCACCAACGGCTTTCCCACGACAATCGTCATATCGGGTGCAAGCTAAGCGAGCCGATCGTTCTCCTGCACCGGCTCCACCAGCCGCACCACGCCGGCCGCGCCGGCCAAAACTGGAAGATAACGGGCGGCGACTGATAACAGAGGCACGCGCCAAGGAAGTGATAACCTGTCGCCGCCTACACTGTAATAGTACGGGCAGAAAAGGCGTCTCAACATACACGAGGCGCGCGTTCAACATTTCGGTGTCGAAATACACAGTATTCCTAAAATACTTGTGCAAATGAGAGCACAACCCCAGCCACAAACGGCCATAGCGTCGTGAAAGGGTTCCCACGCCTACAAGGATTTTCCCACGCGGTAGCAGTCGTTAGTATTAAAGAGAATACGTGGCTTAACCGTGTTGATGAACACCTCTCATTGCCGTTAATCGCGAAATTTAACCAGGTCGAAGGGCTTTTCTCACGCTCAAGGGATACTTTCCCACGTTCCCCCATTTTCTCCCACGACCAGGAATCATTTCCCATGTTCACGTATGCGTAGGTAACATTAGATTACCCCGTGTTTGACAATTTGATAAAGATGACTATTAACCAGAACACAATTAAAAAAAAAAACTCCAAGAAATAACGTAAAATTTTTAGGTTCCGTCCCTTATTTATAGTGCAATGTACAATACGACTAATTTCACAATTACAACGATTTTAAGCGCTTCGGTCACGAGAAAATGGTCTTTTCCCACGCGTGCCATTTCTTTCCCACGACCTTAAGCCTCACTTCCGCCCAATCTTCCAGTCTTTTTGTTGATTTCCCACGATATTGTTGTTTTCCCACGCCCGTTTCCGCTCTCTATTTTCACGATTTTCAACCACTCACATGATAAAAATGCATGAACACATTAAATTTGGCCGATACCCTTGATCAAGAGACAAGGAGCTGGCGGAGGTAGAATATTGCATCCTGCTCCTCGTCGGTCGGTAGTCCGATGGGGCTTAAATCAACGAGGGAAAGAATAGGTGTCACATGTGGCAACGGGGATCAGTACACCGCTTTCTCGAGCCAGCAACTCACCCATTTCCCACGAAGTACCATAATTTCCCACGCGAGCTAAAGTTTTCCCACGCTCATTTCAACTTTCCCACGCAAGCCACAAATTTCTCACGCGATGTAAAACATGGTCCGTAACGGCTACATCGTTCTCTCTTCATTTCTGGCAGAGTTCATGACCATTTCAGTGGTAACACAATGTGTACACACACAATGTAACACAATGTGTTTTATTGCAACCGGTTTGAATGTAATACTTTTATCTTTTTTCAATGGTGCATTACACAAAAGACTTACTCATATTAAAATAAGAAATATTTGTAGAAACTCACCGTCTTCTTTTCTCAAGTCATCCAAGTGAGGTTGATGGTTTATCGGTGCCCCCCAAGGCGAAGGCGCCATGGGCGAGTGGTATGTGGGTGCAAGTCCTGGATACATAGCTGCCCTGCCCTGAAGACTAGACATATAGGGAATCCACAATGGTGGCCCTGGTGAATGAGGAGGTGCATATCCAGTATAATAAGCGGGATGAGTAGCAGGATGAGGCGTTAAACAATGAGGATAGATGAGGGGATGAGTGGGTATGTATGGTGCATAATGTGCAGCACCACCCACAGCAGATGGTATAGCAGGAGAACGCAGTCCTGGAGATGGTGACAAAGTCGGTAATGTCACTGGTTGTTGCTGAGGTGGTGACATCTTCCTCACGCTACCAGACTTAGACACACTTTTGACTTTACTGTTGGTTTCGGACACATCTGAACCTGACTGAGATGATGGAGATTTCAGCAAGTTACGTAGAAATGAAGGTTCAGTCTCCTTAGACACAACAGTTTCCTCCTCACGGGGTGCCAGGAGGGATGTTATGCTATAACTACTAGCTGCAGTCTTCACAGGAGGGGGAGCACCAGCAGGATGAAGTGTGTGGCAGGTAACTGTGCTGTTGTTACTTGATGCTGAACCATTCCCTTGAGAAAGTCTCTGTTTAGGACGCTTATTTGAACTCTCATCTATGCTTACTCGCTCCATTTCCCTGAGTATCCTCTTCCTCGGCGAAATAATATTGGGATCTACTCGTCCACTTGGTATAATGGGTCTTGAGGGCTCATTTGTTTTCACACGATCTAGTAAATTTTGTACTATGCCGGGCAGCTTTCCTTTACTAGGCGTTTTAGATGAATTCAATGTTGAATTCATGGAGCTATTGAAAGAGTCATCTGCATCTTCCTCTTTAATAAGAGGTGCATTCATATCTGCAGCATCATATGGTCTTCTCCTCTTCCTTCGAATGGATCTTGAAATAAAGCTAAGTCTTCTGATCTTTCGAGCAGCATTTAAAGGTCTCATTAGGAACTGTAAATGTGCACCTCTCCCTCTCCGAGGACTAGCCTGTTTCCAATTATGATCTCTCTGCCAAGGAGATGATTGTACAGAGGAGTTGTCATCTGAAACTAAATTAAATTGAACATAAGGTTGGGTGCAAAGAGTGTGAAATTTCATTCAAAATAAAATAAATTTAACAGCTTACCACTAAGTGAAGCTGCTGAGCTTTCCTGCCGAGTAGCTCCAGGGACAGGCCAATTTGAGACCCAGCACATTCTGTCACCATCCCTCCGATACGACAATTCCAGAATTGATTTTCCATCTGTTGAGTCAAAGAAAATTTTTAATAACATATAACAATGCAATGAGTGAGTTGTTGCGCTGGTTAACAGCAAAACTGTTGGTTTACACTGTTTTTGTCATTGAACTTGACAGAAATATAGAAACATAAACAAAACAATACAACAAAAGAACATTATGAAAAAATGGGAAAATGCTCCACAAAATGTTTCAGTGAATTCTTTTCATTCAATGAATGTCACTAAATCCATTGGCAACCAAGTGAAAAAACAATGTTTACAATGCTAGGGACACAAAGACAAGAGATGGAGCAAGAGCAAAGGAATGTAGAGGTTAGGTAGGTCCGTAGCAGACAGCCAGAAAAAAGAATAGCAAAAATAACAAATAATAGGTAAAAAGATGCTTTTAGAAGTAACAGTGAAAGAAAGTTCGTCTTTATACATGGGAGATGGAGAGTAAGACAAGTTACATAGGGCGAAGGCAGTGTCTAGTTGAAAGCTGAAGACAGCCTGATCATCCAAGAGATTCCAAAAATAAAGCACTGACCTTTAAAAAACTTGAGCCTTCCTCCTGCAAACGCATGAGAGGTGTCTGGGTCTACAGAACGGGGCCTAACGGGCCTAACCCCGTCCAACACATAGCCTCTTGCTCTCTTGCTAACTGCGGCAGCGGGGACTTCACAGACCCCGTTCACGCTTTTTTCCTCCGTCATTTTGGCACATGTTGCACTTGCTTCTATTTTCTCCTGGATTCGCATTGCGGTGAACCCTCCTCACGCTGACCTCCCAAAGGTCAGAATCATGTAAAAGGTGCCCCAACCCCGGGCAGATTTCGAGGCTGGCTCCATCGTCTGGTAGCCTATCTCAGGATGCTAGCTTCGTTACTGCCTCATTCCACCTGCTTTTAATCCCACAAAAACTTCACTTATATCATTTTCTAGGGATGTTGTGTTCAGTTCCGGCTAAAGCTTAGATCACAACACTTCCAATACATTCGTCTCACGTCCTCTTAACGAGTACTAAAGTAGCAAAATCCTTCAAATTCCAACGCCGAACGGCAAATTTCTTCCTCACCCTCGTCGTCAACATTCCACTATTCCTAAGTTCCTTCGATCAATCACACCCATAGTCCAGCGCCCCCTCGTTCCCCCAACCAGTGTGGGAATGTCTGTTCAACTGCTATAACACGATAACGTAGATCAGAAAGGTAAACAGAAGGCATAGGTATCAATATTGAGACTTGGCATGTTAATCAAATACAGTCTTGGGAAAGTTATAAGAATGTAAATATCAAATACATCCGTGCGTCTGACTCGCTGTTTGAAAGTCGCTCCATAATAGCTCTGTACCAACTACGCGGCCGTTAGTTCGACGTAAATAATACAGACTGTGTTGTGATTAACATAGCACTCATGCTTGAATGAGGATGTATTTGAGTTCATTATAGAGACTAAAAGGTATGTCCGCCGTTGTTTTGTTGATTACAGGGTATATGTCATAATTACGTCCGCTAAATTGCATCGATGCTGTTTTCCCTGTTGGCTACTCACGGTCCATTCCAACGTTCCTTTAGTCAGGTAACTGACGGAACACGGAGGCTACATCCGAAAGTCATTGACAGTTGGTGGTCTCTTTCCAGCGCATGCAAAAGCGTTTGAAGCAAAAAAAGGTCACGTCCAAATCGTCGTGTTCTGTTCGGTTCGGCTTGTTGTTCTGTCTGCTACTCGTGATGTTAGTTTTTTGTTGTCATTTCCAGTATAATTGCTTTAAAAGTCACTACTTTGACATTTTACCTGACGCTCTTCAACTAAATGACTTGTTTTGTTTTCTTCATTTATCATTTTGAATGGACAGAAGAACACCAACAGATTAATGATCAGTTCCTCATCGCGTCGTCTGCTGAAACCACTTCCAGCATTCGTATTTAGTTGCCGTGAAAGTACATACAGCTAGCATGCCGTTCAATATCAAGTCGAAAATACATCAAATGATTGAAACTATGGCAAGAGAAGGTAAGAAGAATCATTCAACATGCATTAGTAGGCGTCGTCATGAAACTTTAGCCCTAACCTATTTCCAGACGGTGTTCAAAAGTAAACATTCTGTTTTTCTTTATCATATATGTCTGAGAAAATTGTGTGCATTTTTTAAACTCTTTCTTTCTCATTTGTACGCATGTTACAGGCGATCCAGATGACAACAACCTCAATGATATAGAGGTCAATTTGATACTACCAAGAGCTTATCAAACCAGACTCGATTACGTCGTTTGCAAAGCAGAGACTGAAGGTAATCATTTGAATTATTTTCTTTAATGTAGCACCAAATCAGGTGTTTCAGCATAGACTGAAGCTGGAAATTGTTTGATCATTGTTTCTTTTTCCAGCTTTGGAAAACTGCAGGAGGCAATATGGTGTCTTCATGTCATTTATGTGCGTTGAAGATTTATTTCACAAGAATACTTGTCTTTTGAGGAATAGAAATAATGAGGACGTCAAAGATGATTGCTCTGAAGAGTATATTGCTCTGCGTTCACACTACAGACTTACCAAGGATCCTAAAACACTTAGAAGAATGAAAGCAATGATACTACCAAAAACTTATGCTACCGTAAATCTTGATTGAATTTTATGTAGTAGTTCA